CGTGAAAAGTTTTGAATAGTTTGATGGCCGCGAAGTTAGGCAGATCGGAAAAACAGTGACTTTTCAATTCTGACAGGTATAAAGTATTATTTATCCAATGTACGGTTGCACTATCCATCCGGGCATTTTCCACGGGTGGGCACTAGGGGCTGATACTGTCTCTCCATGGATGAACACTATCGCATCACGTGATCGATTTAAACCAATAAGAACCGGAGAAAATTTAGTTGTGAACTATAAAAGCCAATAGTTCCTCGGCAGAAACACTCAATTGTTTAAATAGCCAAGGTTTTCTGTAACCAAAACATTGCAAAATTTGATCCTTAATCCTTTAACATCCAAGATCTGGTTGTTAATTCTCCCCTCTAGCTGGTACATATTTCCTTGTAAACAAGTCACAAGAATTTGGTTTTAGATCAAGACTACTAGCTTCTAGTGGATAAGTTTGAGTATTCTCATTACCTGTTGGCTGAATGATGTATGGATATTATAGGGAGAAGTTACAGGTTAACCACTTTTGGGTTTTTGCTAACATAAATAACAGTAGCTTCATGGTTATTGCCCTGGACTCTGCAGCAAGAGGTCTGCATTCAAAACCTGGCTGAGTCATTGTGTTGCGTTCTTGGGCAAAAGACTATTTTCAGGGTGCATCACTCCATTCAGGAGTATATATGACTACTGGCAAATTGTCAGGGAAGCTTGAAGAAGTGCTGATGCTTAAGACAACAAGCAGTCCCTCCTTTTTGGTGAAGTCTGTCATGTGAGCAAAAAAATAATCAGTGAAAAAAAATATTTGTGCGCAATGGGAAGCTCTTAGAATGACATTGATGCGACACAGGAGCTACATTAGTTAGGCCCTTGAAAAGTAAGGACTAAGTACTATGAACCTTCTAATCACCTCACTCATGGAGCTCTGTGTCACGTCGACATCACTCCAAGAGTTCCATGTGGTGCAGTAACATCAATTTCTTTTCACTGATTTTTTTGTTTGTTTGCATGATGGACTTTGTCAAAAAGGAGGGACTGCTCATAGTCTACTAATGCTTGCGATGTACTAGCATCTTGTCTAGCAACTCATGTAGGGGTAGCAGAGATTCTCCAAGTTGCTTAATGCTTGTGAAATAGGGATAAGTTCCAGCTGGGTAGGCCACATGGCTCAAATACTGTACAGACTTTACCTTATGTACATACCAGTAAGTAGTACTAGAGGAAGGGTGTAAAGTACATGGAAAATATTGTTAACTTCTGAATAAACAATATTAGCCCTGGCCATTAAACCTCGGGTGGAGTAATCTGTGTAGTAGCCAGATAATTTGAAAATTTCCACAGCCTAATAAACACTGTCTCCAAAGGACGAAACAAAAGAAAACAGAGCTACCACATTTATTCAATCCATTTGATTGACTACAAAGTTTTATAAAGAAGGTGCAGAACAGTACCAGAATTCCTATGCAAGTAAGATTCTCTCCAAAAGCTTCTGCTGTTTGGAATCTTGTTGCCATGACACCATTTGAGAGGGCAGAACCTACATGCACAAAACATGACATGAAGCACAATATTCCTGAGTCAATTCTACCATCATGATGGTATTCAGGAAGAAATACAAATTTCTAACTACAACATTATTGATATATATTAAAGTAAACTAAATATCAAATATTAAAGATCAAATTATTGATTATATAAAGGTAAACCAGTTCCAAACTAGCAGAAGTATAAACATAAATAGACATGGAAGAAATTCTTCTAAATACAACCCAACTTCATAACCCACAGTTTGTAAAATAGCACTGCATGGTGGATCTGGACAATTTAGCAAGAGGGAGCCAACAATTGTGGGGAGATCACACAAACAACACGAAATAACCTGCATCAATCTATCTTAAAAACTGAAACAAAACTTTCAATACCTCAACAGGGCTCCACACTAACTTTTCAACTTACTAGCCAAGTGGGAAGTGACATTTTAGATGTTACGACAATTTCAGTTTGTTTACTAGCCAGATTGGCTAGTGGAAATCAAAAAACCACTTAGCAAAAAACTGAATTTCTACTAGTCTGTGGCTAGTAGGCTACCATTAGAGTCAAGACCTGCTCAAGGACACTAGATGGGATACAGCCTCCTCTGTCCTACCCAAAATCTCGTTATGCCATAGAAGGAAGGGTGGGGAACAGTGTGTATGTGATGGGAAAAATAGGGACAACATGGTATGACCACCTAAAGATAAAGCTTTTAACATGACTTCGAGTCTGTTACTAAATTATTGACCAACACAAGTTGCACCTTTAGAACCTTCATCAATTGAATCCATAATCCATGGAAACCACTGATTTGAGCCAGGTCTAAAAAAACAACAAGAATTACATTCATAGTTTCATGAGAGTCAAAATTATAAAAACCATTTGATTTACAGTAACTAGTACAAAGAGTTCATAAATTTCAGTTATTCATCTCTTTCACATCTCCCAGAGTACACTTTATTTGCCTCCCAAAATTTGGCATAACCATTGTTTTTCATTTCTCACTTTACAACTTAAGACTGATTAAAAACAAGCATTATTCAATATTAGAAATGTGAGAATGTAAAGAGAATTTTGGTGGCCTGCTGAGCAGGCATCTTAGGGCAAGCTATTATCATAAGCTTGCCATCATTTTTTTTTTCCTATTTTGTTTTTAGTTTTGACCATCGCTCACCCCCTTGGGACAAATTTATTTCTCTCCTCAGCTGTCATTAAAATCAAGGATAGTGGCCATAATTTTCCCTAAGAAAATTCTGAGTATTCCCTTGCAAAAATTATGCCTGTTCTGCAAGCTAGAAATATGGAAGTGTTGCTTACTTTTGTGTGAATCATTCCTAACTCAATAATTAAAAAGCTAACAAAAATAAAAGGTCTTTGAACATATGAAAAAAAAAATCAGCAGTGAATGGTTACGAAGGCCTTTTAAACCCCTTTACCCCTTAGAGTGACTAGTATCTAACTTCTCCTTACCATATCACCCCTGAATCACACATTAAGGTTTCGAGAATAAAGGAAATGATCACTAACTAAAGCTCTAGGCTCTTGATTGTTAACAAATTCTCCTTGTCAGCACCCTAGGAAATGTATAGGGAACAGTATGGAGAATATGTATACTGATATCAGTGTATAGAGGGTCAAATAAATGTTCTTTAATTTCCTTTCTCTTCTTTTTTTATCTATGAGGACAATTTGTTGATTATGACAAGTGAAATTCCAAAAGTGATTTACCCAAGAAATTCCTCTCCTATATAGCTATAAACATAAGAAATAAACAACAATAAAACACACTGTTACCTGTATTTTACTATTCCACCACCCCAAACTCTTTGACCTTCATGCCTACACAGGTACATGTAACTACACTTGTATCATTTTCAATTTTACATTCCATAACAATATAATTCAAAACATTATCTGCCCAAACATACTTATGGCAAGCTGTCTCTTGTTGTGCTTTTTGTTGTACTTTTTGGCTGATCAAAGCAAAGTTTAGTGTTTATACAAACACAATAGGCTTAAGCTCATCCCATGATCACTCACAGTACATGAGGTGCAAACACATCATGAGTTCCATTGATGACTATTACCTGTTACTAGCACACAAAATTGTCTTTTGAAATAAAATGAAGTAACATAACAAAAATGAATTGCATTGATTTTTTATCAGCAGGCAGTTGCACAAGACAGAGAAAGAATATTTTTCCCAAAATTCCTTCAAAATCCCATTAAAAACATATGTTATTACAAACCATCCGGTGGGGTTCTGAAGAATTCCTTGCTCATTTTGTATTGTCTTGTAGACAACCTCAGGTGTGACTTGAATTTCTGGTGGCTGTTGTTTAAATATTCAGGAAACAATAACGATACCAAGTACAAAATAATAAGGGCATGTTTGGTGTTCTCATAAGGACTATTTTACAAGAACTAACATTAATGGTTATATCCTGGTACCACCTCTACAATATAAGAAGCTCTAAAAACAAATTTCTACCCAATTCTAACAAATATTTCATTTTACACAAAACCATTTCACTCCTTCCTTCTTCACAAAGACTGTCCTGTTTTGAAAGAATGATTTATATCTAATTTCTCCTTACAATATCACCCCTGAGTCACTCACTGAAGTCACAAGAATAAAGGAAATGATCACCAACTAAAGTATTTACACTGTATTGATTGAAAAATGTATTCTCCTCAAGAACAGAAGGGAGAATAATATTTATGCATACTGATTTTAGAGTGTGTAGGGTTAAAAATTTGATTGTGGTTCCACACTGAAGAGCTTTTTTTAGCATGAGCAGGGTTAAAAATTTGATTGTGGTTCCACAGTGAAGAGCTTTTTTTAGCATTTGTAGGGTTAAAAATTTGATCGTGGTTCCACAGTGAAGAGCTTTTTTAAACATGAGTAGGGTTAAAAATTTGATTATGGTTCCACACTGAAGATCTTTTTTTAGTATGAGGAAGGTTAAAAATTTGATCGTGGTTCCACAATGAAGAGCTTTTTTTAGCATGTGTAGGGTTAAAAATTTGATTGTGATTCCACACTGAAGAGCTTTTTTAGTATGTGTAGGGTCAAAAGTTTGATTGTGGTTCCACACTGAAGAGCTTTTTTTAGCATGTGTAGGGTCAAAAATTTGATCATGGTTCAACACTGAAGAGCTTTTTTTAGCATGTGTAGGGTGAAAAATTTAATCGTGGTTCCACACTGAAGAGCTTTTTTAGCATGTGTAGGGTGAAAAATTTGATCGTGGTTCCACACTGAAGAGCTTTTTTAGCATGTGTAAGGTGAAAAATTTGATCGTGGTTCCACACTGAAGAGCTTTTTTTAGCATGTGTAAGGTAAAAAATTTGATCGTGGTTCCACACTGAAGAGCTTTTTTTAGTATGTGTAGGGTTAAAAATTTGATTGTGGTTCCACACTGAAGAGCTTTTTTCGCCTTTCACCACCACTACACCCAATCCAAATTAGGAATTTGTGCTTGCCCTCTGTGAATTCCCCAGGAATATGTTGTGGAGGTGCACAAGGAAAAGAATGGATATAGGAAATGATGGCAAACAAATGGAGCATTTTAAAAATCACCTGCTGTGCAAGATGGGATTCTTGTTCATAAGCACCATATAGATGAAGGAATGTTACATTTTTAATACTATGCTATAGATTCACTAACAATACTGTTGACTGCCACACTTTGACTTTTGCATGGCACTTTGATTTTTGCATCACACTTTGATTTCAGGCAATGAGGTTGAATAATAATTGTACATTGCAGTATGTAGCCTAATGGTTTCTGATATTGAACACAAGAACATACTACTGGAACCCACCAATGGAAGCTAATCAAAATGCTATATACATGTATATTGGGACACAAGAATTAGACACTCAAACCTAATTAGAAAAGCAGTTCACAAGTACGGCTTGAAATTTCACAATCAAAGATTGATATGATTCTCTCTTATGAGACAAACAAATGGTTTAACTTATTTTATACTTAAATTCAACTTTTGCATGTGACATTATATCAGTGTGAGGATACATAAGTTACCCTGCCTCAAAAACAGACCTGCTGACTTGTATGAGCTTGAAGGAGTTCTCTATGTTTAATCTGGGAAACAGCCTAGTAAGATTGACCAAAAAAAATTATTACAAATTTGCAGTATGTTAAAACCACTAGAATATAAAATACTGATATTCAGGCCTGAAAAAAAAAAAATCCAAAATTCAGCCTATCAATTATGCTTGCCCTGGACAACCTAACACAAGTTTTGTTGAGTCTTGTTCAGTAAAACTACTTATTTGCAACACAGATCTCCCATTTTGAACCTTGGACATCTTGGACCTTCACTGCACAGTGAATGTAACTTCATGGAAATTGTCTGAGTATATTTGATGACAAATATTGGGCTCCATGATCCAAGTAGTAAAAGGGTCTAAAGAAATATCATTTTAGGCCGTGGTAAAAAAGTGGAATTGTAGGTAATTAACTACAGCCCTGACCTTTAACCTCTTCTGTTCCATAACAGCTTCAAATTCCTGGAGTTTCTTATTTACCTCTACTTTGTAACTACAAAGAGTGAAAATAATTATCTGAGTATCTTCATCATGCTTAAAGTGCTACTGAAACAAAATTTTCGTATCTAAAATATTTGCTCTAACCTGTAGTTTTGAATATGCTGATCATCATGAGATAATTTGCTTTGGCCAAAAAGAAGCGAAAGATATCTTTTTTAACCGTTCAAATAAAAAATTTTACACAAAACCATGTCCGGGCCCTGGTACCGAGCGAAATGGATTGGTGACGTCACTGGTTGTGTTCATTCCGATAGCATGGTTTATTTCACTCACTGTTTGTTTGTATTCGTGGGCGAAGGAGGTGGCAGATATTGAAGTTTTGTCAAGTGAATCTTCTTCTGAATGAAGCAAAGTTGTCTCCAGTAGCGAAGAGGAAGATGGTGGCGTAAAATGGGGTTGACAGGCCTACAAGACTCCCAAGCGTGTGTTTAGAGTAGCCTATTCAAAGTTTAGCCCTCACGAGTATGTCTTTGAGCGACCGCCCTCTTTTGTAAGATACAAGCGGCAGATTTTTGTATAGTTCGCTCAGTAGTGGTTGTGTTTCTCTTAAATGCCAGTTTTTCATGAGACTTTGCTTTATGTGTGGCACTGAGTAC